TACAGGAGGGGAAATAAGAAGCAGCGCCATAGATCAACAGTTCCAGAAATACAAAGCTGAGGCTGAATATTTTAGAAATTTGGCACCAGAGAGGCAGAAAAGTCTCTTGGAAGAAAAACTGAGGCATAACGAGACAATCACTCATCTTAAGCCGCACTACAAAGGTACGGACCTTTACAGTTTAACAGATAACGCACACGAGACTCCACCTCCTGCTGATCAACTGATGACGATGGAAGGGGAGAGGGGAAGAGGTCGTACCGGTGCGGCTAAGCTTGACCCGTCAGTCATTAATGATGAAATGGAGGAACAAAAGAAGAGAGACAAGATTAAGGAAGATGGACAGTTCTTCATGCATTGGCTAAAGGTAAAAGTTATTATTATTAGTAGTAGTAGTAGTATTATTACTATGAATATTATTTTACATATACCCTTCTTTATTCTGTCTCTCTTTATAGGAGTGTACTCCGTTTGGTTTTTCCCCAGAGGAGGTACAAATTGCTCTTAAACGTAGCCCCAAGGACCCATTGCATTATCTTCAGAATAAATGGCTTGAAATCATCAAGTATGACTTTATTTTAGAATAATTCTGTATGCAATTGCATATACACTGTACATGCTAGCACTTGTGTATAAGCATCCCTCTCTTTCTCTCTCAGGAATGCAATAGTGGGAGTTAAATTCGAAAAGTGCAATAAAGGATCATATGGTATACCGTCTAGAAATGAGATCAGATTGGTATTGATTGAGTGTCAAGGAGACATAACGGCTGCAAAGAAGCTCTGTGTGAAAAATAGGAAGAAAAAGGTAAAAACTACACGTACTACTGTACATGTATGTTAACTTTGTATTGCATATACACATGTACTACTGCTTCTAGTATTCTAATGCTCTTTTCATTTCTTCCTCCAGATCAATGAACTCTTTAAAAAGATTGATGGGCGGTTTCAAGTCTCGTGGGATGATGCTGTACAGGCACTATCAGAGACTGAGCTTGATGTAGACCAAGCCTATTACACTGTCCAGCGCTATGGACTCCAGGAGCTCTACGAGTACCTGATGAGTGACTTTAGTAAGATGGTCAGTGAAGGACAGACTGAGATGGAGTACTTAAAGGGCCTCATCATTGAGAGAATGAAAAAGAAAGACTCTGAAGACGTGTACAATGTAAGTCTGTATACACGTATCTGGTACATGTACATGTAT